GTCCCAAAATCAAGCAGATCGACAGCAACACTCCACCTTGCTCTACCAAATCAGAAAAACCACATGTCACCCGGTCCATCAAGATTCAGTGCCCTTTCCGTCTGACCGCCAAGCTTGATGAGACTACTAACACCTGGGTTCTTCACCATGTTCGAGTTGGTCACAATCATGGACCGGCGGACACAATAGCTAACCAAAAATCTGTAGTAAGTTATTTTCACCGACTTCTTCTCACATTTTGCCATCTCTTTTAATTTGGTCAACAGACACACCCTACTATAGTTCATCCGCCGGAAACCCACGATCATGGACCAGCGGACACAGAGGAAAACCAAAATTCTGTAGTGAGTGTTTTTTACCGACTTCTCACTTTGTTCCATTTGTTTTAATCTGGTCAACAGACACTCCCTACCATAGTTTATCCACCGGAGATCCACAGTTGCGCAACCCGCATTCAACAACTATCACCAAGAAGGCAGATTATTGTATTGGAGGAGGTCAACAAAATTATAGATCAGCACAGTGCCATGCACTCGATTACAGTGAGATTTTCAAGCCAATTTTTGTTTGTGAACTTTTGAATTTTTGGCTGACAAACAACTATGAATTGTAGAGTCCTCTCATGGTCAAGGATGCTTCTCTTGATGAAGAAGAACTCGTAAGCATCAACCCAGCCTTCAGATGAATTGCATGTGCTGAATTTGACTTGTTTTATAGGACCTAGCGCTCAAATTTTTGAATGCTTTGGATGAAAGCGGTAGCAAGGGTGTAATTGAGTGTAACAATCCTGTAAGAATACATCTTTACCAACAGTAAGACCCAAACCTCCTGTCTCACCGACTTTCCAACTATACAGACCTCTCCAGATAATGGACTCCTGGTCAATGATCAAGCTCAACTGGACAAAGAAAACCGGGCTCAACGTGAAGCAGATGAGGAAAAAACCAACAAAAACACCTTGGTCCAAGCAAAGATGGATGCAAATGAAAAAGCTGGTGAGCTCTCAGTGGATCAAGCAGAAAGAAATATGGAGAAAGTCGAAAACAGAATCGAGCCTTCCAAGGTGGTCTTTCTAGCTATATATATACATAAATGACTTGAAATTAATGGATTTTCTCTTTGGATAAATATACAGACCAAGCGTACAGTATCAAGGACTGCGAGCAAAGGACGAGCTACTCAGAATAAGAAACTGGCTAAGTCTAAGGATTCGCATCCTCAAGCTGAAGAGATGACCGTGTCTCGGACCACTCGTTCAAGAGCCCAAAGAAGTCCACGTGCAGCTCGATCTAGTGGTCGCATCAAACACAAGACTGCATGATTTGTTACTGTACACTGTTATTGTTTTTTTGTCTTGGTTCTTTGTTCCT